CCTCCTTCCATTTCCAAACCTACCTCAGAGTAAAATTAAATAAACCAGCCATCCTGTGTTTGGCTGACATGACGCACACAGGCGGTAACCTAAGCCTTAACCCGGCTCATTCAATTTCTCCACCACAACTTGAAATAATGTTTTATCGTGCCAGCATAAAGGCAGCAGAGTTCCAGCTGTTGGAGCTCATGATACAACTCTGACCACATGACTGTATCGCTGACACCTCCTCGCTGTATCCTCGCTAAAGACAACAGTTAGAGACAGAATCCTCATGGAGGTAATGATTCTGTTGTCACCCAGCAACTTGGACAGAGAGGCCACCAAATAATGACGCCAAGAGGAAAAACACCCAGTGAGGGCAGCTAAAAGAGGGAAGAAAATTGCTTTAACCCAAACCCGGTGTCATCCTTAAACCATCTAAAGGCAAGCAGCCCGTTTACCAGCAAATATTTAGCTAGTCTGTCTAACTAAAACCTAATGGTCCCAAACCTTTAAGAGCTGTGGCAAAAACCAAAGGCTGCTGCTGAAAAATGATTATTTTTCCATTACAATAAAACAGGAGGCTGTGTCGATGAAAGAAGAGTCGGCCGCACAGTGTCTTCACTAAACACTGAAATCAGAGCGGCGGCACTGGCAGGGGGACAAGTGGTTTCGCAGTCACAAACCCTCCACCGTAATTTCATGCTCCCCCCCGGGGAAGTGGTTATTTATAGCCTCGTATTTTTAACCGACTATTCTCCCAAATAAAAAGCCAAAGAAGAGAGGGAAACAAGGGGATGTTGGGAGGCGTGTGTGAACTTAATCACAGCACACTGAGCAACAAAGAGCAGCGAGCTTTAATGTAGAAGCGCGTTCCACAGCAGCAGCAGCAGGTTTAATGCCTCTCATCTAAAGCCGACTCCCACCTGGCAGGTAAAAGGTTACACTGGAATCACCGCACGTTTTAAATACACAAAACGTGCCTAATTTTAGCGACATCACAATGTGTGAGATGAACAGAACCTACAAGATTACAATCAAAACCAGGAAGTACAAAAAGACCCTGAGTAACAATAATCAAATAACTGTGATCTAAACTGACTCCATGCTTGACCACTATTTGCTACAGCAGTCATGATCTGACCACAACGTGGAAGAAGCTATGAATAAAACAGGACAGTTCCCCTTTCACAACTTCAGTACGTCTGTGTTTTGTGGTCCAGTTTGCAAATTCATCTCTGACTTCTCTGATTCCACTGACAAGCAGTGATCTACATTAATGGCCAGCCTTTTCATACATATAAGGAGATTAATGGTGACGAGGTGAGGACACGAACAGCTGCAGCAGGTGAGCATTTGAACATGATTTCGGGGCGCCCCCGCTTCCCTCCATGTACAAACCTGCTTTTTGCGAAGCTTGCAGATCTGCTGCTCCACCATGGCGATTTCCCTGTCCACGCGGTCCATGTTCTGGATCAGCTCTTCCTTGGAGAAGCGAGCGGGAACCAGATCCAAGTCAGGGTCCATGTGAACCGGGCTCACCGGGGAGATGGGCTCCAGCTTTCCCATGGCACCTCCACGGTCCTGCAGAAGCCACAGAACAGACACTGAGACACTTCTTTCACAGTGAATATAAGCAAGCCATTTACTTGAACTCGGGGAAATACAACTGAGGACAGAGGAGGATATTTCAAAAGAGTTCTTATGCTTTGGATACAAATGAAAACATACAGCAATTCAAAGAATCTCGTAAATGGTAGTCTTGGAGCTACCAATGAACTTTGACCATTTCATTTCTTGTTTCTTAATGAAAGCATTCGCGTCTTCCTGCGATTTCAATGTGAGCTGTTTACTCTGGAAGAACACTTTCAATGCCCTTTCTGTACCATTTCAGAAGATAACACCAGTAATAAAGTCCTCTGGGTAATGGCTCTCAGTGTGCCGCTGGCTGGCTCAGCAGGCCGCCTCTGTTTTGCAGGACGGAATCCGATACGTATTGCATGTCTAAAATCAAATTTAAGATATTATTAAACGTGTCCTCTGACAGTTTAACAGGAGGGTGCGCCTGTCTGTCAAGCCAACAACAGTTAGTGCGACTCGTTAACTGAGCCGGCTTTCTGATGAGAGAGGCCGGTGGAGAACATGCAGACCTTCAACATCCAGAAACCCTGCCAGTTTAAGACTTTTACGTTTGGCTACAGGTCACAAGAGACGGAGAAGCTGCCCCAGCACAGTTAAAAGCAAAACCTTGACCATTTGTTGCATATTTATTTATAGTCAGTCTATTTAGCAATACATAATGATCAGGCACCAGCTGACAGGCAGTGAGACCGAGAAACAGGATTTGGAAACATTACTTTTACAGTAATGACTAAAAATGTAACAAAATGCATCCAGCATAATCCTTTCTGGGACTCTAATTTCATGCTAATGTTACTATGATATGGAAGAGGAGAAAATGGTGTGTTACCCAGCCCATAAAAAAATGAGACACTTCCGACATGCCCCGTCTATCTTACAACAGCCAATTAGAAAATACAAGGCGCTGTCGAGGTACTGCCGTTCTGCTTGGACTTGGGCAGGAACTAAAGAGCAGCCGAGTTTCACCAGGTGTTAATGAGCCTGGGTGGGAGGAAAACACACGCCTCTCTGCAGCCAGACTACGGCCATGTGAAGCACTCCCTCCGTCTGTGGCTCTTAGATGTAAACAGAGATCTTTTGAGGGGAATCTGTGGTGCGTAACGTGCAGTGTGCAAAGTGTTTGTCAGTGTCACTTCGGTAGCTCAGCGCCGCCTCGGTGGGCGCCGACAGAAGAGAGGCTGAACTCTGAAAAAGCATTAGCAGACATGTTGAGTTCTGCCGTGCAAGCCGGCCCCCACACACAAACACACACACACACACACGCTCCGATTCAGCTGTGACCAACTCCGCTGTCAACTCAGCGATGAATAAGAGGCACATCGTGCCTAATCCGGGATTCTGCCTGTGTGTTACTTAAAGGCCATCAAAGAGGAGTCCTGCCCTGTCTTGAATGTGTACAGATGCGTCCTTAGATACCTGCTCAATACTCAACTGGTGTGCCAGTTTAGCTGTGAGCAAACCACAGACACTCGCCTGTAAAATCTGGTCAGGTGTGCCCACCTGAGTTCAAGCCTTCCTGGCTTTTCTCTCATCCAGCATTTGTCAGAGAACAAAGGCTGTTCGGAGCGCCTCATCCAATATTTCCTGTGGCCTCCTGCCATGATGCAAATATGGCTGCCAACAGGGGCCTCTTGGGAACCATACAAAACTTGTCTTGATGATTTATGGAAACTAATAAAGAAGCAGAGAATGGGAAAGAAAATCGTCCAACTTTGGGGACAACAATCTGTATAAACGCTCAAGCTGCACAATATGATGAATGTTCATCATCATAATGTGCACAGTGTCAAAACATGAGGAAATATATTATAAAAGCTGTCTAGTGATGGATATGCAAGGACAGTTTCGATAATAAACGATCATAGAAACGTTAAGAGGTAAAGACATGAAAATATGGATATTCTGGAGCTGGTCGCTTCCCATGTTTTACCCATGCTACCCATACAATCCAAAATACAATGGATTATTTTCTAATGTAGATAGGAAACTTGTTTGTATTGTGCTGACAATGTGAAACCAGAACATACAAACCACAGAACAGAAGGTCTAAGTTCCATTTTTAATTCGGATTAAAAAAAACAGGATGACGACTCAAATAAAAAAGACTCCACACTTTAACATTGCTTGTTTTGTCCAACGCTAATCCACACTATCAAGATCACATCCTTTGAAATTTAGACAATTTGCAACCCAAATTTAAGAGAAACCTAATAAAAAATATTTTAAAAGAAATAAAAAATGTTTTTATTAATGAAATCCACTCAACTGTAGTTCAGTTGAGATGAAAGAGAAGCAGGCAGAATGTGTGTTTACCTGTTTCCTTAATGTGTGTAGCTGTTGTGGAGCTAATCCTCCATAAATAACACTGCGTGTGCAAGCCTGTGTGCGGTGCATGCTTGTGTGTGTGTTAAGACAGCTTTGGTTTTGTTCCACGTTATTTTTAAACGCCTAAAATGAGGGTTACATAAGTGGGCTAATCTGGACGAGGCACGCAGCGTCACAGCGCCGTAGACCTGCTGGTGCTGGAAATGTCAGTGCTGGAGGATGGAGAGATGAACACCCCCCAAAGCCAGCTACTCGCAATACCATAACCCTGGAATATCACAAATAAACCTGTCTGATACATTTAAGAAATAATCATGAACATAAAACATTTCATTCTATGCTCAGTTGTGGCAGCAGTTTGGTTTGGGGTGCTCACCGGAACGTTCTTTAAAAAGGGATGGAATGGATAAGTCGCAAACAATGTTCGCAAATATCAGGTTTGCCTCCACTTCCTCTTGTGCTGGCAACAGCATGGCGGCACATCAAAACGACTACACCTGTGAAACTGTGTAAGCAGGTCACAGGCAACCAGCCAACCTCTGATCCTGAGCAGCTAACGGCTTATTTGCCCTGACAACGGCGATTCCCTTCAACGCTTAGTGCCTCACGGCATTCAACAAAGCCATTAAATGAAGCCTTACGCCGTCTGTCTTTACCCGAATGTGTTGATTCATAGTTTCCCTGAGTTGGGCGTGAAGTTCTTTTTTTTTAATGCCGAAAAACAGGTCCCCAACAATGGATTAGCTGGGACTGCCAATGTGAACAATGGGAATAAACTGGGTGTGGTTTATCTGTCTGATTTAACTGGTTTATTACATATTTTCTCATCATTTCTTGCTCTTCCTGTCTTTACTTCCATTTACTGTGCCTCTGCAAGTGCCCGCTGCCTCATTTTCAGCAGCTTCTTGCGCTCCATCAAACCTCAAATGGGTGCATGTGACTTACTGCTGCTACTACTTACTACTAGAGAAAAACTGGCGTTCCTGAAGATTTTCATCACTAGTTTTGTTTCCTTTTCTCTCTCTCTTGTCTTCCCGCCTCTGCGTCCTCTGTTTTTTGGTCTATCTATTTACCATTCTTTGGCTGTCTTTCTCCCCTGGCAGTTTGAGCAACTCCCGTGTAAAAGACGCCACCCAATCAGAGGCTTCACTTGCAGCAAGTCTTTTTGATGTGCAATTCACAGTTTCACCCACAGTCTTTTGAAATCTAGGTCAGCTCTATTATTTATTAATTGTGGTTTCACAGCTCCCTCAGTCTTCCCACTCCTGCTCGAAGAGATCCAGCTTCGCTGCAGAAACTCTTTCTATCCCCTCTGCTCCGGTGTGTCTAATAACATCCCTTGGGTCTCTTAAAAAGACTGGAAGGATACACCAAATAAAAGTTCTGAAGAAAGAAATGTAACTCACTTCAAGGAAAAACCATTGCAGTGTCTCTTGTTCATACTTTGTGCTGTACACCTTTGCAATAATCTTGTGGTTTTGAATACTCTTAGTGTAACACTTGACCAACTGGAGAGAGAGATAAAAAGCACCCTAACCACAGATAGTAAGTCAGGGACTTTCTGGAGACGACTGACCTTTGTCATGTCCTCGGCCCCCAGAGGCAGCTGCTGCCGGTGGGATGAGGGCCTCACCAGAGACTCTGATCCCAGATCCAAGCGAGGCCGCTTAATCTCTGCATAGTCCAGGTCCGACTGGCTGCTGGGATCCGGCAGGTAGATGTGCTCAAAGCGGATGTGCTGCTCTTGTCCCCTGAAAAAAAACAAAAAAAGAATGAGATGAATTTGTAACAGCAGTAAAGAATCCCACTGAAAAACTGTAGCTGTAATAACTGACAGCAAGCTCGTTCAGATACGGCAGTTTCTGGCCAGCGGTGTGTAAAAGAACCTCCTTTTCCTGGTAATATTCTGGCTGGTGGAACATTGCTGATGAAACACGCACAGCCAAAACTGTGTTGGAACAAAGCGAAATGCAGCAGTGTCGAGCTGAATTTCAGATTATACGGGAAAACCAACACCGATGGATCCAACAGCGATCGAGCCCAGGTTATTTATACGACAGATATTTCTTGTGTTTAGCGTGTCAGATGTGAATGACTTGGCAATGTCGCATTTCTGTCCCAACACAATGTCAGCTTTTTTCAAGTAGAGTCTTTTTTTTTTTTTCTTGGTCTTCTCTTTTTGAGCCACTGGCTCTGGGGCTGCTGCTCCACCAGCCGGCTGCAAATCAAACCCTCGTCTCCACTACAGACGGGAAGAAGAGGCCAATCTCTCAGAGCTTTGACAACCTTTATGCTGTATTCTCATCCAGTCTTTACACAGGTACATGCATGGGATACTTCCATTTTGTCAGCCCACTTTTAACAGCTCTCTTATTTGTATGAAGGTCTGGAATCTTGAAAGAAATATGTGTTGTATGAGGGTGCAGAATGAGTGATGAGACACCAATGGGGTGGGTGGGGACTCGTCACATCCCTCAGCAGCTACATTGCTTTTACACTGGCCTGGGCACCATTAGGACGAGAACAGAGATGATGTGGGCCGATAGCAGCAGGTTATTGTGAAAGCAGCCTCCCCTCGCCCCCCCGGAGGATCGGTCCTGCAGCTGTGCGTGGCGCAGAGCGGCTAGCAAAGACAAACGCATCGCTGGCTTCCCAACAGCTGGGACCAATGAGAGCCAGGCAGCGGCCTGCACGCTCCTCACACCCTCATCCAGAGTGTGCGCCAGCCCTCATCTGCATGTTTATGTCGCTGAGCAACAACACATTATCAAGTGGTCTAAAGTTCAGGAGCCAGAGGCGTTTCTAGACTTTGGCCCAGAATGAACATCCGTCTCGGACACTTGCATTAATCAAACCTGTCTTCTTTGCACCATTTGTGGGAACTCTCATCGCACTGCACCTCATTTGAAAGTATGTCAGCAGAGCAGGTTCACTCACACTCTACAGCAATCATAAGCAGGAAAAAACCTCACATCTGTTGTGCATATAAAGATCTGAGAATGAAAGAAAAAGGACCAGAGCCACTTTGATTACTGTGTCAAATCTGTGTCTGTTTCTCAAAGAAGCAGCTACAGTAATTCCAGTTGCTCTGTTGTGCGGTTTCACTGTGTTTTCATGCAGGTGGTGAAGCATCGGATGAGGTGGGGTGGTCGAGATTTAGCCACAAGCAAAGATCCGAATGAAACCAGGAGCAGGATGGTGATTACAGTGTTGTGGTTGTCTGACCCATAATTACAGTAAATCTCGCTGCCTTCATTGCAGACAAAGAGAAGCTGAAGGACACAGCCTTATTCACAAACTGATAATCCCTCCGCTGAAGAAAAACTGTTTCTAAAGGCCACATTTGCTCTTGCTTCTTCAAAAACCTTGAAATTGCTGCGAATAGAGAGCAAACGAGCAGAAATATAAACTTGTGCAAAGGGAAGTGTGCTTGTACGCAGAGTGAGTGTGAGGGATTGCAAAGACCAGAATTTAAACTGGTATTTGCAAACTGGAATGAGCACACAAAAAATGGCCTTTAGTTGGGTATAGAGAGCCTTCTAAGAGAAAACTGATTTCCACTGAAATGCTCCCTGCTCAGTTTATTTTTTATTTTTTATATCAGTCTGCAGTCTCCACTTTTGACATGATGACGGTAATCCTTTATCTGTTGAAAAGAAAGATTCCCTGCTCTGGAGGAGAGGTTTCAGGAGGCATCTGTCTTGCGGTAGCACAGAGTGAGTCATCTTTGAGAGAGCGCCAAAGCCCGGTGACTGAATGAAGTGTGTGAGTAAATCCGGAGCTGGTGGGTAGCCTTTGAAGGATAGTGGGTTTATTTCTATTTCAAGCAATGACCCAGTGTTCCCATGCTGTGGGCAAGGCGAGTAGCTGTGCATGGCTCGGTGTTTTTGAAAAGCACAAGAAATCCCATCTGATGCTTAATGACACCGACATAACAACCAGCAGCCCCACGCTGCTGCCCAGTAAGTCCACCATCTGCCGTCTTGCGCTCACATCTCCGCTGTATTCCAAACACTAAAGCTTTGATAGCCAGCCACCACTTTACACCTGGAATACTATCCGTGTAACATTTGGGAGATTATTTCTGGAAGGATCTGCTTAGACTTGATCTTCTTTGCGTGTTTTAACACATGCAAGAATATCAGCTGAGCGGAAAAAAAAGGTTTTCCGTCACGTATCCTGGGTAGCAGGTAAAATTCATATCATGCACATGAATCATTTATGAGTAATCACCAAGATGAAAATAATTCTAACAGAATTGGTAGGTCTCCGGAGCGCTGTTCACACAACACTCCGCCCGACTTACTGTTGGTTTACTGAGGATGGAAAAAGTCTGCAGGCTCCATTGCCCTGCAGAACCGTTTAACACAACATTATAGGAGAAATGGCTCTCGGCTGCCAATTACATAAGGATTACTCCGGGGGAGGGTTACCAGTCAAAGGCTTTAGTAGAATAATAGGGCATAAAATGCACCCTGCATGAGGCCTTCATTGTGCATGATCTGTCTCCAAGATGTCAAAGCTAAACACACTGATGATGCAACGCACAAATACCACACATCCCCACATGTCCCCCGAGTTTCCTGATCAATTCCCAGCTGGCTGCACTATTGTTCCATCACATATTACTTTTGTTTTTTCTCAAACCGCATTCTCTGACTTGACAACTATTAATACCTCCAAAAATCTCATGTGCTTTTAAAATAAGACTGGTGCAGAAAATATTTCCTGCAGCCAGAATGCAGAATACCAGCTGAAGCATCTGGGTCAGAATGGACTGCGGGCTGTTGTGCAGATTTTTCACATCAATTCAAACAAATACACGCACATAAAAAAATAAATGAATCAGGACTTTTTTCGAAAAAGCATTGAAATGAAGAGGAAGTTTGGTTTTGTGGAAATGAGCTTGTACTGATGAGGAAGGAAAATCATCTCTGTTCCTACCTTTCATTGCCGGGCTGGAACTCTGACAGTAAGGAGGGCCTGCGGCGATGGGGTTGAGCCAGGTGGGAGCTGTAGTCCCTGGCATGATGAGAGTGATAGTCCACCAGCCCCACTTCCTGGAAGACAAATCAACACCAAGTCGTCAGTACACCACAACCACGACTCGTTTATTAACCCCTTCCTTACTGAGAAGGATACAATTATGCGGCCGGAAATGAAATGATGGTGTTTTTCTCAAGCTCCTGCCTCGTTTCTTCTGCAGCGTCCACTCGCCATCTCCTCTGCCCTCATATCTTTCTGCCTTTCCACTTGCTACTCAGATATGTGGTTTAGGCTAAACGCACCGACTGTAAACCTGCACCTCTGCCAATCAGGACCTCCAGGACACAGCCCATCACCCCTGATCTCCTCTTCTGAATGTGATGACAAGTGGGAGGATTAACAACGGATGCAGCTGTGTGGATCCTGGAGGGTAAGCCTCCAATTCTCTGACCATTCAATAACAAAGCAAATCTCACAAACACCGGAGGTCACTGGATGGACCTTAAGAGGCCTCTTCTCTGAGCCTCAGAGAGCTTTGTTCCTCTTTTAAGGAAGAATGTAATCTTGATAATGAAGAGATGTTGGTGGTAATAATGAGCAGGTCTCTGATGTGACTCCACAACGAAAAACATGAACTTTCAACTTCCAACATCTAATGAGGGAACGCGGGACGGTTTCGGTTGGAGTTAAACAGCAGGAGTGCGAGGCCTCTTCAGGCTCAGGCTGAAATCTCTCCGACAGATGTCGGGGTGCCACAGGTGTGCTCACCGGGTGTGCCCGCTGCAGCTGCAGGGGCAGGCCGGCGGGGTTTGGCAGGTGCCTCGTGTCCATGGTTCTGCGGCCCGGCGCCAAAGGCTGCGGATGGGAGGACATGCTGGCACAGCCGCTTCCTCTACAGGCAGCAGGAGGAGGGTGTGGCGCCGCGCATTATCGGCTCTTTTCTTTAGCCTGCAACCTGTTGGCGAAAAAGAAAGAAAGAGAGAGAAAAAAGGAAAAATTAGGCATGAAAATGTAAAGACTCGTCATGGAGTTTATCTTGGATACTTGCAGCAGAAAATGTTATGATGCTAACGTGCTCGGAAATTAAAGCAATTGCATTTTTTTGTTTTTGCTCCACACTTCCAAGAGGTTTAAGCATGTTCATCTGTCTCCCCCAGCCGCTGCCCCCCCCCCTCCCGCTCCTCGTATAGGGGTGCGAGTCCCTGCACCTGCTAGACTCAGCCCCTCCTCTGCTGCTCGCTGAAAGGCCCTCTGTCTGCACACTGAGAACCCTCAGACCCTGTACCGCCGAGTGAAAATAGTCTCAGTTAACTGAGGTTTTAAAAAGGTAACAAATGACTCATCGCCCTATAATGGAGTGGCCTCAGAGGGCAGACCACAGCATTTTTCCTCGAGATTGCACCCCACAGCTCTTGTGTTCTTTTAATAACCTTACCGGTGTCAGAAGACATCATTTGACTGTAATCAGAATCAGAAATAATAGGAATCATAACAAACAGAAACTCTTCACTTATTTTTCGGAAATATGTGAATAACCCCACCGGGGGGGGGGGGGGGGGGGGGGCTCCCCATCTGTTTGCATCCCCCACTCCCCCTAAAATTAACAGCTGATCAAACATGAATGGTACCAATAGATGTTGACTCTTTGCTGTGTTTGGCTGCAGCCCGGATGAGCGTGTCAGATCAGGCTCCCACTGGATGGATTTACTGGATTTGACGGACTTCACAACGTCCAGCTGTTTACTGGGCCATTCTCAGGCACGCTCACGAGCCGCTGATAGTAGGAGGCAGACCACTGGTCGTGTTGTGTGTCCCTGTGACTCTGGCCAAGAGTGAAATTAGGACTCCTGCCATGTCTTTGGAGCGGTGCGTAATGCTGGCTCTCTCCGAGCGCTCAGGTTTCAGCACAGTGTGCAGCGCACAAGAGGCTCGGTGGCAGAAACACGCTCCTGAGTGTCACTGCTGAAATGTTGACAAGGCAGCAAAGTGCTCTAAGAGCTATGGCAGTTTTCTGAACCCACGGAGGAGCGCCTCTGCCAAACCAACGTCCAGTGTACAGCCGGGTGACAATAAACGACAAGATCAATATCTTTTTTAGTTTAGATGAATAAAACACAGGTGTAAATGATAAAACTAGGTGCTATATTTTTTTAAAAGCTTTACCACAGTGGCACCGGTTCACATCGGAACCAGCAGCTATAGTATGAAAAGAAAAATGGCCAACGGCAAAAAGTTCCCTCAGTCGTTTAAAATGAAAATGACTCAAAGCCTTTTTTGTCCCATAATGCTGTAAACACCATTTGGTGGTAGCTTTTTGTCATTGTGTTTGACATCTTCCACTAACCGCCCATGTAACATTCGTTGTAAAATCGGCCCGCAGAGAGAGCTTTTCCCTCTTTAAAGCTCAACAGCTTTTCCACAAGAACAAATGGCTTTATTTCAGCCCTGAACACTCAAACTTCGCAGTTACTACATTATGCAACAGCATCGCAGTCAAAAGAATGCCAACACATTGTCAACAAAGGCAGACACTGAATAAATCATAAGTGGATGAATGGAAAAGGTTTATTCCACGGTGCTTTAAGAATAGTTAACTACATTTAAAGAGTGTTTAAAGAAAGCGATTCCGGTAACGGAGCCGATTTCAGCTTTGGCTCGCTTAAACCCTGAACACAACATCGGTACGGCGGCCTGCGTGAGGCGTCTCATGTTAGATAGCTGGCACTGATGTCTGGTCAGCTACTGCTGTGGTTTCCACCGCCTCGAGGTTTCCCAACGGGGACAGGTTGGGCAATAACCTCTTTGACCTGTTGCAAACAAGAGCTTCGTATCACACGATGGTGAGATGACACGCCACATGGCTGACACAAAGAGGCACAGCATCTACCCTTCCTTCCTGCCCGGCTGTCATAAACAACACGGTGTCACTCCATGGCAGTTACGCAAAGGGCTCTATTACGAAAGGCCGAACGCGGCCCCGGCGTTAGCAGACAGAGGAGCTCTGTAAACACGGGCTCAGAGGCCACCGCTCAGGCTTCCAAGACACTCCGTCTTTGAGTCCGAGCCTTAACCGTGGCTTTAAATAATTCCCTGGAACTGCCGCACGCTCATTCCGGAGCACGCACGCACACACCTGAGGACCGAGCAGAAGAGCAGCTCTGATAAATTCCTCAGTGTAATGTGAGGGTAATCTGATCTCAGTATCGGCGCACAGACAAAAAGTGGCAAAGGAGTGAAATAAGCCATCCTTGTCGGGAGCTGCTCTTTGATGACCGTCCAGCCCAGAGAGATTCCCCTTAAGAAGGGGAAACACAAGTCTGAGCACAGTCACAAGATCCGCAGAGGACCCGGGAGAAGGGGTGGGGGGAGAGTGGGGGCCTGAATCAAGATGAGAGGACCAACACAATGAGAGAGCTTTGACATCAACTCTGAGGCAAATGGGGCCTTCCAGACAAGAGGCTAAACACATGCACTGGCACAGCTACAGACACCCACAGGCAAGTCCATGGCTCACTGCCAACACTGCAAATGAACTCAATCACCTTACTCCCCTGCTCCCTCCGCTCTCCTCTCCTCCCTTTTGCTCTCGTCTTTTCCAGAGTAGAGGGCCTCAGCCCCTCAGCGGTGCAGGCCAATATTTCATCCTCTTAACCCCCCCCACCACCACCACCACCCCCCACCCACCCTCCCTCCCTCCCTCCCTCCCTCTCCATTTTAGGAATGGTTGTGGAAATCCTAGCGCTGAGCAAACAGACAGCTTCCAGCCCGCCAAGGAGAGCAGGAGGAGGACTTCAAACAACGCTTTAATTCAATTGACATTTGCAGTAAGTCAAATCTCCTGCTAGTGTCGTGTTAGCAGCTACAGTCCAGCACGAACACGCACAATAGATCCCGCACCACGACCCGACTACACTGGCTAAATGGAGAAAACTGTTGGACTGGACTCTGACTGTTAAAATGTCTCTAGCTACGGGCAGAATAGAAATGAAAAGCCTTGTCCTCTATGACAAGATCAAGTCAGAGCTCACCTTCAGTCGCTGCGGATTAATAAAAAAATAAATAAAAAAATCACTCTGTGCCAACTGTCCGTGTAAATACTGTTACAGAATTATTCAATTGTCTCAACTAGATATTAAAGTGGCATAATCTATTCACTGAGATGCCAACAGCATCACAAATCTCACTATTCTCTGTTTCTGCGTACTGAACAGTGGGTTTTAACCACACCACAGTAACAGGCCAGTCTGTAACTGGAGACGAGCGTGACCCACAGCTACTTTGCATGTCACCCAGTTATTACGGTGTCTATTGCTAAAAAGCACATGACAACACATTCAGATACAGGCCAGTGCCTCTAAAACAACGCTGAGCAAGCGGAAGTATGCAAATGTAGTTTCTTCTAATCTATTCTCTAAAAGGAAACAGTGAGGTCTTAATGAACTAAAAAAGGCAAATTGTCACAGAGGAAGCAAAGCAAGTCACAGTTTGTCACGTTTTACCAGCAACATCACAATGAGCTCAAGCTATGAGTCTGCGTATGGGTTAAGCTCTTTACAGCTTAGTTAACAGATGATACCTCAGATGTCTCATCCATTCTCAAATTCAGAGCTTCCACTGGCGGGGGAAAATGGGCAGTAAGGCAGTCAGGGAACAACATGAGGAGTTTATAAAGCAGTGCCCTGGAGAGCAGACCTCATGTGAAGAAGGAGGAGGAGGAAGAGGAGGGGGGGGCAAGAGGACTCAACCTAGGAATGTGGCACCCTGTCAGGTCTCATAAGGATTTATCTCCATGGAGCCTCATTACAGAAGGGCCCTGGAAAAGGAGACTTGTGCTCGCTCACCCTTTTCTCTCCACTCACTAGAAAACCTCAATTGTGAGCGCTTGAAAAACACTCGGTGTTTCTCATCTCTTTACCGGCTGAATCTCAACTTCCAGGCATTAGCCACGACCGGGTGTTAAAACACACCAACATAATCTGCAGCCGGCCGAAGGAGGCACAGGAGCCTCCACAGATAAAAGGTCATTTTGTGTTTCAAAGCCCCTGCTCCTTGTTTTTCTGCTTACTGATGTTCATTCAGATCTGCTGGAGCCAAATCTTTAGCGATGCTTTGAATGATGGGCTGTAGTTCAATCTCTGCCTTCCTCCACATCCAGCCAAATGCAGGATGAGGGAAAAAAACATTGTGAAAAGAACCAAAAGCGAGTTTTTCCAAATTTCAAATGCAATTGAAGTTAATCAGAAATTTTGTTTTAATAGTTACAAACATTTGTGTCATCGATTGGTATTGGAAAATTATATTAAACTCACACAAAAGACTCAGTATCAAAAAATGGCTGGCTATACTCATTTACGTTTGGCTGGATGATACAACAAAACACAAAAGATTAGATACTTCTTTTTACTGGCTCTGAACAACCCCCAGTTGTCTGTGGACAACAGTGCAGCAAAGGCTCAAACAATGGAAACAGCGCGGAGGGAAAAAAGGCTGCCGGAGTGCGACGGCCAGCAAAAAAGGGAAGTTGGCGCCTCTAAATGATCAGCAGCAGGAACACCAGGTATTACCGTCACAGAGCCGCCCAGCCCCAGAGAGGCCTCACTTCCACTGATATGTGGGGATTTCTGAGACATTCATGGCAATGCAGGCTTCCCCCCCCCCCGGGCTAGACACAGCGCTGTTTAAAACAGCGGCTCAATGCCACGCCGAAGCCACAACGACAGATAGCATGTGCTGGGGTGTGTGCCGAAGGCCAAAGATGCAAACACACACACACAAACACACACATGCAAACACACAACAACCAGCGGCTTAAAGAATCCCATCTTATCGAGTTAAATCAAAAACAAAAGCTGAGCAATGTCACAAATCGCAAAGTGACGTAAAAAAAAAAAAGAAGCTAAATGTCAAACGGCAGTCTGTCGAGCAAACTGGGTGACATAATTAGCGCCTGCCTCGGCTAGTTTACG